CACTAGACAGTGCTTTCTGTCAAAAAAGGGCATAAAGCATGTCCCAAAGCGAACCAAGAGCACCATCTAGTGGTGTCAAAAAATACAGCAAATGGTTCATAAAGTATAATTTTGTCCATCACTACTCTTCACTAATTAATCCCAGATGTATTCACAGCCCATTTAGTACTGTTAACCTGGGGAGTGCTGGGTCTGGTGTTTGTTCTTTCTCTGGTTAATGCTCTTAAAGTCCCATGACATATATTCTGTGTTCTATTTGTTTAAACTATTTTAATTGGCATTTCATGATCTCGGTGCCAGTCCCGCTGGCTCCACTGACAACGTTCCTAAGAAAACCATATTCTGAAGTTTGCCCCCGAACATTTTAGACTCATAAAAGGCACAAGGCTAAGTGTTCACCAGTCCTTAATGAAAATGGACCTTTGAAGAAGCACTGGGAATTGAGGGCCATGAGATCTGAGAAAGTCAGTGGGGAAAGTTATGAGAGAGAGAGAGAGAGAGAGAGAGAGAGAACAAGCAATCAAACAAACTAAATAGTTGGCCCTTGCAAGGATATATTGGTCTACAGTGATGTTTTGGATGAATGCCGACCACAGAGCAAACTGCCTCTTTACTTCCAGCAGACAAAAATCAACATTTCATCAGTTTTGCCAGGAAAAGGCAAATCTAGTGCAAATCACGGCAAAATTACCCAGGAAAATGCCAGAATAAATGTTTAACTGATTTCGCGCAGGCCTGGGAATAGACAAAGTGCTACATTTGTTCGAGGTTAAAGAGTAACTACACCGAGAGATCTACTGGTCAATAAAGCAATTTATATCATCAGTAAGCTCTACTGCTTTCTGAGGGAATTTACGTCAGGGAGCACAAAATAACCAAGGAGTGTTAGAAAGTCCATACCTACATAGGCACTGAAACATGGGCGGCTGCCAAGGCTTCTAATAAAAGGCGTCACTTTATTTAAAGCCTACGTAGATTCCTGCTACCACGAATATGTACAAAAATTACTTAATGGTGAATTATAGCCAGAACAAAATATTAGGGACCCAGACATCTGTCCGCAGTGTCCCTGAGGCCAAGATGGACCTTTTGGAAAGAGGGTCCCACAATTACAACTGGACATTTGGGTAAGTAAAGACTTCCAGGTCTCAGAGGAATCACATGCGACCTGCTTGTGTATTTAGGATCAGAGGGTGAAGGCATATTAGATCTGTAGGGTGATAAAGCCATTTATACAAGCTCACTCTTTACAGCAGCAAATGTCAGGAACTGGAAGCTCTGGGGAATTTACTTTGAATGGAAAGCATGTATTTTACCCCCTGAGAGAACGATGGGGGAGATTGGAGGCTGTTTAATGTCACACCAAATGCAAATGTGCTCAACATCATAGACCTACAGGACTGTTGACCAGTTTTGTGCTGTATGTGAGACAGGCAACAGTGGCCTGGATTCACCATGGTCTACAGCACTGAGTGGCACCTTTATATGGTCATATAATCAGAAGCAACCATATGTCTGCTTCAATGTCATCACTTCTATGAAGTGCATTATGGGAGAGGATAGCATGAGAGTTGTGCATGTATGATCCCTGATTGGCCACTGCAGTACATAGGAATTCATCTCTTCACCTATCCCGTCTTGCTCTTCATAGCTTGGGGAGGGGGGGGGTCACAGCACAGGGTAAATCATCAGGCAGCACCCCTGGAGCTGGGGAGGTTAAGGGCCTTGCTCAAGGGGCCTCACACACGACTGTTCTCTCAAGGCGGGGCTTGAACCTGCAACCTTTGATCACAGGCAGGGAGACTGAGCCACTCACTCCCTAACAATATATCTAAAATTAACAATATATACTGTACAGTGGCAACCATGTTCAGTGAAGAAGGTGTGTAAAGAGGCCTGCCTCTACACGCCAGACGCTGTGCTGTACGGCTACCACAAGATGGCAGTGTAACTTCAAGCAGTCACATACTAAACTCTGACCTTTTGATATAATTCATAATAAGCACACAGTGATGAATCCCAGGCTAATGAGCATGAAGCTGTGTGCTGCATGGTGGTTACCAGTACACAGCCAGCCTGTAGTCATGGCCCCGTAACCACTGCGGGTGTTCATGGCGTCCCCTGGCAGGCTTTCGGGGCTTGAGGCAGGAGTGAGGAGAGTTCAGCCAGAGTGAAACCCAAAGCCTGTGACCCTATGTAGCTTGTTAACATCTCTTCCATAATTAACGGTGAGTTAAGCAGGGAGCACTGCTGAGGATCTGCCCGGCTGAAGCTGATCGCTCCACCCTTTCACACCTCTGCAGTCCTGGGTACACAGAGAGATCCTGGGAGGTGGTGCTGGGCCAGTTTGAATCAGGCCACAGTCTCCATTCTGCTCCTTCCCCTCACAAACACTGGAGTTAGACTGCAGATTGTAACAGCTTGTTATTATCCTTCGCTTAGCAAAACATCAGTAAAATAAAATATAACTTGAGAGGTATACAGCGTCCACATATGGAAGCTCTTCTGGTCCATGTTCTGCTTTGGATTGAAGATTTGTGTCTGCATGGAGTTAGGCATGGCTGTGGTAGGGGGCCCTATTCTGGAAAGACCCCAGCCCTGACCTGGGGGAGGGAGGCTTGGCTTGGGTCTGAGGGTGGGATTGGGAAACTGGGGCTTACACCTCAGTGCCAATAAAAACAGGAGAGGAGATATACAGCACGCAATACCGGTTCCTGTGTGCTGTCAGGACGGACCGCAGTACAAAGCTGGTACTGGTTCTTGTGTGCTGTCAGGATGAAACACGGTACAAAGCCGGTACCGTACTGTGTGTACTGTTGTGACGGACCAGACTACAAAGCCAGTTCCAGTTTATGTGTGCTATCAGAACGGACCAGGTACAAAGTTGGTACCAGCTTAACGTGTACTATTGGGATGGATCCCATACAAATCCGGTACCAGTTTACATGTACTGTCGGGACAGACCACATACAAAGCTGGAACTGGTTCACAAACCCAGTGCTTTTTCAGTAAACCCGTCTTGCCTCCCTCCACTCTTGTTCCATCTCTTTAAAATCCTTTTTGCACCACCGACTCGTGGTTAAACCGAGAATTTCTGTCAGCTTTATTAGCATTAGCTTGATAATGGTCAGAAGCCATGGGGGACAATTCACCCAGCTGCACAAGGCCTCTTAATATTTTCCAAAGAATTTTGTTAAGACATTATTTTTTTTTAACTGATTTTCCACATTTCAACAATATTTCTGTATCGCTGAAGCTCAAGTTCCAGCAACAGAGCTCTTCTGAGGCCTGTAAAGTAAGGGGAAAGTCCGTTTCTTAACCGCTACTCCACATGCTGGTTTTGCTGTAAGGTCTGATGTCAAGAGAAGTTCAGCAAGCTACCCAGGTAGCAGGTCGCATAGGTTCTGCCTGGTACCCAGATCAGCACCAAGTGGTACCTACTTGAGCAGTACCAAGATATACAGGGCAGTTATTTGCTTATTTAGGAGGAAAGTTATCTTATATTATAACAGTGTCAGTGTCAATAAAAATCTCTTGCCAGCTCACAGGACACGCCTCTGAAATCTACAGCCGAAGACCTGGCAGAAAGATTCCCTTACAAACGAAGTAAATAAGCGCTCCGTGCTTCCCCATTCCGCCTGGCCATGTGTCACACTGACCGTGGCGCCTCCCTCGTCATTCTTCCATTCATTCTTTCATTGTCTCTACCGGAGGACCCTCCTCCTCAGTGGCACGAGTCTATTTAATGACCATCAAATTACTGGGAATGACACCGGAACTTTTGGAAGCGGAGGATATAAATATTATTATCGGAAAACAAGCCGGGAAATGCCGTACAAGAGAACTAGATGCTGGACATTTACCAGGAGAATCACTGTCGCGTAAAAGTGGATAGTTTTTTTTTTTTTTTTAACTTAAGTTCTAACCTTCTCTTCACGCTATAGCCACATCTATTTCCTTCAAAACGCTCCGTCCAACACCTAGCCCTGTCATAATCAGGGACATCCAATAATATATACACCTTCATCCGTACATTTTAAAGGGACTTAAACATGACAGCTCTACAGACTGTGGATGGCGTTTAGTTTGTGCCTGAGCCGTAGTGCCTTAACCCTCACCTGCTGAGGAAAGTACCACATGTTCCAGGCTGGACTACGATCATCCAGGGAAGCGACAAGCACGCAGCTCTTCAACGCCGCTGTTCACACTGTCCCTCCTAAACTTTTTAAATCGCGAAGGTTTCCGCTCTCCGTGGAGAGAAATGCACGCATTGATACCCAAGTGGGCCGTGCTGACGATGTTCCTGGTTCAGGTACTGGTTAGTATACCGAAGGTAAGTGAGTCGGCTCGTACAGCCTATACCGATTTCTGCAATCTGATTCGTCTGCATGCGGTATTTCATACATGCATCTGGCGAAGTGCACAGTGCGCAGAATCATATACACACACACATACACATGCCGTGTGATCAGCACGGTGTCAAACATGCGAATACTGTGGTCTTAAATGGAGAAACAGTAGCTGAAGTTTCATCAGAACCACTTGTGCTCCGATCCACACGTAGGATTTTTTTCCGCTGGTTATCGACACAGAGGAACACAAAATGTGGGCGCATTACATAGAAGGATGTAAATCTTATGACTGGAATGAAGCTGAGATAAAATAATCTCATAATCTCTCAGCAAATAGCGGTTTCAGTTCGGGGGAGTTAAACACGTGCCTGCAATGCACAAAAACAAAACCGTCACCACATGCTCAAAATAACTAGCAGGATCATCATATATCCTTGAACACCCTAACATTGCTTTTCTTAGCTTATAGTAATAAGGGGAGTGGACAAGAGTTGTAAATTCTCATCTGAAAGATGGACTGGTCTTGCATCTTCTGATGTTTTTGGTTTCTCAGCCAGGCTTAGGAAGGCAGCCGTGTTTCCTGCCTTTAACTGGCTCCATATGACTTGGGACTGGACACTAACGTGATGTGAAAGTGCCAACGTAACTGGTACCCCAACAAGCACGCTGCAACATGGAACTGAGACATACACTCAGCGCTCAGAAAGCAATGCCGCCTTTATCCCTGAAAACACAGGTTTAGCAGTGAGCCCTTGAAGATGAGAATAGTTTCGTCTAGAGGAACGCACAGATCACCTCATCTTCTGAAGCATTACATGGTCTTTGTTAAACAGGCATTTCAGGAGGGTTCGAGCAACACTGATCAGAGGATGGGGGTTCCGGTGCCCAAGCCGACCCCAAAGGTCCTACCATATCACCAACAGAAGCTAAGGTCACCTTACCAGTTGAGAGGGATTCGACCCAAACCCACATCCCAGGAGGAGCCTAAGCCATTTCTCCTAGACCCGAAAAACTTTCCAGAATTTTCTGGCGCAGACCTCCGATCCCACAATCCAAATATTCAGGTAGAGTGACTGAGACGCCTTTCAGGGCCGTTACTGGAATAACGCCGTTAAATGGGGAGCGTTGTGGGAGCATGCAGTTTTCCCCGTAACTGGGATGTTAAATTCCACATGCACACTATCACACACTGTGCTTATGGCTGCCTTCACACAGCCGTCTGTCTGAAAGATCTCTGGCTGACCCCTGCACCTTCTGCCTTGATGCAAATGCTTGCACTGATTTAAATATGAAATTATTTTTAAGCCCTTAAAAACCAGGATAAGTGGTTTGAAAATAAGTGGATGGATAGATGGATGGATGGAAGGATGGATGGATGGCTGGAAGGATGGATGGAAGGATGGCTGGAAGGATGGATGGAAGGATGGATGGATGGATGGATGGAAGGATGGATGGATGCCTGGAAGGATGGATGGAAGGATGGCTGGAAGGATGGCTGGAAGGATGGATGGATGGATCATTTTAAAACTTTCACATGAGATGCATTTACAGCCAAGGTGTCACTCAGTGGCCCTTGTTACCCCCCCCCCGTCCTGCCTAAACGTTTTTGCAGCCTCATGCTTGCACAGTGGAAAGGTCTGTAAATGCTGTCTAATTATAGGACCAATAGATGATGCAGTAAATAATGGCTGAGCTGCCTCCTGGAGGTCTGCCGCCTGCCTGGGCCCAGCGTTATCCAGCCCAGGAGCTGATAGAGACCCCATGTTCGAAGCAGGAGGAGGAGAGCACTGGCTCTGGTCAGGGGCGGCCTGCCCTTTCTGGTCCTCCTGCTCTGCTTTCCGCCCTCAGCTGCACCAGACCATCAGAATAGATGCTAAATGACCGACTGTGACCTTATTTGTGTGTAAACACCTACGGCAGCCACCAGACTGTGCTGCTCGGTGGGAGACAGACAGCTTCATGTTTCTGCTGATGGGCTGCAGAAGGTTAAGGTTAGGCAGGGATTGCTGCTGTTTTTCCTATCTGTTTTTTTTCTTTCTTTTTTTGGGGGGGGGGGGGGCGGGGGTTATGCCTGGTCTCAACGACTGTGAACATGCTGCAGAAACAAGCTTAATTTCTGTGTGATAATGAGCCGGCTTGTGGTTATGGGCTAATGTGCACTGTTGCCAGGCCTTATTTGTAGGAGCCAATGTGTATTAAATAGATGCATTAGGAGGGAACTTAGCAGAAGTGCTAGTTATGCAGAAGGGAAGAACTGATATACCAGCCAATGGGGAAGCAAAGCCTCAGGCCATGCTGGGTATGTAGCTTCCGCTGTAGCTGCATAGCTCTGGTTATCTAGCTCTGGTTATCACCCTCCAGGTGACCATTGAGGTTACGGACAGCCCCCAGATCGAGCTGGACATTGACCTGGTTGAGGGCCGCAGCGAGTGGTCACTGGCCTCCCTGGGTTGGCTGACGGGGAGAACACCATTCCGGCTGCTTTTCTGGGAGCATCCGGAACCCGAGGATGGAGAAGGACACAGGGGCCCAGAGGACAGTGAGCAGGAACCCTCAGGCTGGGGTGGAGACCAGGACAGCCGTTTAAGGCAGGGCTGGGGGCCCACGGATGATTCCGGTGAGTTCCATGCAGCATGGGCCAGAGGGATGCTGCAGCTCACAGATCATGATGCTGCAAGATGTGTCTGGTCTCTCCTGACAGCAGGCAGCAGTCCTCACACACAATAGCACAAGCCCAAAGTGACTTTAAGGTTATATTAGCTAAGTCCTCCATAAACCATGCTGGTTAGTTCTAGTGATCGTGTTACTATTTACCAGGTGAGCTGGGCTGACCTCCGGTCCCCTCTTGTCCAGGTCTGGACAGCTGTGAACAGTGGCTCCACTGTAAGAGCGACTTCCTGCAGCAGCTGCTCCTCGCGGAGCTGCCCAGCTGTCCCTGCTCCTACCCCTCGGAGGTCGTCTATGGCGCCATCAGCATCTTCGACAAGCACCTGGGGAGGGCATTCCTATGGCGCGATGCCAGCGGGCCCAAGGAGCAGCTGGGCGTGTACAGGGCAGCGGCACTGTTCTGCCTGCGCTCCACGCCGTCCCGGGGGGGCGCCCTGCCAGCCGCCCAGCAGTGCTGCTACGACGGGGACCTGCGGCTGCTGACGCGGGGTAGTGGGGCCGGAGTGCCTGATCTCATCAGCGCCGACTTTTCCCCAGAGCTGCACCACCGGCTGGACGTGCTGCCCTGGCTCCTGTGCAAGGGCGACTGGAGCCGCTTTCACGCTGCCCGGCCCCCCAACAACGGCCTGCGGTGCACTGAGAACCCGCCAGAGAAAGAGTACGGCCGGCAACTCGAGCAGGCACGCGAGTACTGATACAGCCCGCCCACTCCGAAGCCACGCCCACATCTGAGCCCCACCCATATCCGAGCCCCCCCACTCCGAAGCCCCGCCCACATCTGAGCCCCACCCACAATCGAGCCCGCCCACATCTGAACCCTGCCGTCAGCAGAGTCCCACAAGAGGTGGACCATAGGGGGTAGCACAGGCTGCTCCACCTCACTGGAAATGCCAACTGAGAGTCCAGCCTCAGCCAATCAGGTGTCGCTCGGATAAGACGTGTCACACTGGAGAACAGGGAGGATTGGGACGTGGAGCCAGATGGATTTGGGCGACCTGGAATGTTTATTTCTCTGAGGTTGGCCGATTTTTTCTTAAAAAGTGTTTTATGAAAAAGGTAAAGAGGTATGTGCGATTACCAGTCCAGGGCAGAACAGGACATCTTAACCGAAATCACAGGGTGTGGAGACTGGAGTTTTAACAAAAGATTTATACTCGATTTTCAAGAAGAGAGTAAAATTCAGAGTTTGGGTCGCAATGAGTAATTACATTAAGAAAAGCGCTGAAACATGATTAGAAAACAAATATGTGTCTTCTTACATTCAGTCTTAAGAACATCTGGGAATCATATTTATCCTATATAAAAAAAACATGTAAGAACTGAAGGCTGTGGGAGGGGGCAGGAAACCAGCCGCACACAGAGTCACGTAGCCCTGGGACAGACGCCCGTTTTTGGAGAACTGCTCCGCACAAGGTTACATTGAGGTGGCATACTTTTATTGCTTCTAGAGTGTTCCATCTTTGCACAAAACACAGTCCAGCCTGGGAGCATCACCACCATGATGTGAAATTGTTCCTTCAAAAGAGGGACGAGAAACTAATATCACAACTGCAGGGTTTATCCTGGAGTCTCTGTGAAGAGCTGATGTGTGTGTGTGAGGCGTTGATTCTAAGCTCTAAATACTCTCTCTCTCTGCTGTCATGTTTTTCTGAACTGGGAGACGCAGTGGACACCGTTTGTCATCTAAAGGCTTGTGTGATAGAGGCCCTTACCAGACAAGGGGAGTATTACTCAGCAGGCAGCTGGGGACCACCTGACATAGGCCGGTGCCTCGCCATGTGACCGAGTACCTGTGAGCAGAACCACAGGCTGACAGACAGGTCTGTTTGTCTACGGCTGCAAGCGAGAACACGGGTCTGACCAGGGAGGCAGCACAGCCTGGGTTACTGACACTGGCACATAGTGCTGATTGGCATATGAGGAGGAACAGGATGTAGAGCCAAGCAGGTGACAGTCTCAGGTACCACCACATACGGGGCTGCCTTTCATGCCACCGAGGTCTGGAGCTCCTGTGCGCCACAATCAAGCCGACAGGAAACTGGGGCAGAGTCACCTACAGTTAATGACTCAAACTGCCAGCTTTGTCAAAGGTGACATCTCACTGCGGTGATGCCATTTCAAAGACAAAGAATGGCACTGTGTGTAAAGGTAGCATGTTTGTATTGTCTGTCAAGCAGTAAAGGGTGTGTACCTATCCATTATGTGCTTGTTACGTCTTTGTATGGTGTTTATTAGAGTTTACAGAATATACTGTGTGGGATAACAAAATAACCAGGAACAAAGCAGGAAGCAGAACAGAACAAACCAAGTACAGGACTTCAGTTTGGACCAACTAATAAAACTTTCGCAAATGACTTTCATTGCATGTCAGTGGAACAATCACAACAACATGGCCACTTATAGTTGGGCATGTATGATCGTGTGTTCTGGCTTCAAAATGCACAGATCTGCATTCAATCAAACACGTTAATCATGTTTCCTGGTATTTCGCATTTTTGAGAGCCAAAGGACCACAGCCTACATAAGGAGCAGCTGAAAATTCCCAACTCAGAGACAGAACACACGTGCTTTTTACGACACCTGCCTGTCCTTTACTTACACACGGGACATGACCACATGCTAAAACGGAGTTCTGGACACTGTGTGGAGACACACAAAAACAACAGGTAGAAACAACACAAGGACACAATGTGTCATGTCCTACAAGAAGCTCAGGAGAGCTACAGGAAAAAGGACCAGCTACAGGCATGGTCAGACAGCTCCCCTTACAGCTAACACCGCGCACAGTGAGCACACAGAGAAAGAGCAACAAGCCCTCATACCGTGGATAAACACGAGCACTAAAATTTGGGAAGCGACTGAACACCCACATAGATTATCCTTATCACTTATTTTTACAAGTACAGAAACTACAGGTCAGTGCGCAAAGCTGTTTCTGGTTATTACCCAGACACATGATGTCAGGGATGTTTTCACATTGAATCAGCTCAGACTTCCTGGGCATGGAACAAACGCGATGCAGGACCCCCATATTGCTGAAATTTCACAGCATTCAGAAGATCATTAGAACAGATGCATGTAAACATGCGGGATAAGGCAGCCGCTGTGTGCATATAATAACCAGCATTAACTCCCTGGTCAGCTGGAGACATACAGTAGCTAGCACTTACCAAGAGCCTCATTCCCACTGGGTGCGAATCACTCGCAGACTACGCTCCATTGTGCTAATTTAAATTCTCCTTATTCTGACTCGACGACGTGTCCAGCTGTTGGGAAAACAGCAGGCAGAACATCAGGCTTTATTCGGGTCATTTGGAAAAACAAACCTTTCGCTAGGAATGTGGACGACGTGTTGAGACAAACAAACACAGAGCCGGGGGGAAGCTCATTTCAGACGGCCGATTACACGCCATCAAAGGGCTCGATAAGAAAGACACCATTATCTCGACACACTAACTTCACACTCACACATGCATTTATTTTAAAACAACGTGCCGCTAATCAGAGTTCTAGAACTTTAAACAAAGGGTGATTACGTTCCACTACATCCTGCTGTTAAAGTAACCAACACCCATTTTTAAACAAGCATACAGCACCCAGTTACACCCGAGGCTTAAGAGAAAAACAGCAATTTAATAAAGCATCCCATTCCAGTTTTGCACAGGAGCTCTGATTTGCTTTACCTGAGGGGAACTCTCTCTCCCCCAGATAACAGTGCACGGCAATAACTGGATGTTATTCAATTAGTAAAATCTACACAATTGCCATCCAAAATTACCCCAGGGGCAAACAGCAGACATCTCAACTGCGCTGTCACTCACAGGATGCATAAACACAGGCGAGGCTGTCGGCTGTGTGTTGCAGTGCACTGCAGGGCCACACTGGCAACTGCAAACCAGCTCACTCTCAAATCACTCCCTGCCATCCAGAGTGAGCTGTTCCTTTGATGCTATCCCCTACGCCCCAGCCATCACTGGCGTAAAGAAGGGATCTTAAAACTGTAACAGGCTTGGGGTACAAAGCTTTGTTAGGCTCAAGCTGTGCCACGCTGCCATCATACCTCAGGCTGTTGGGAACACTGTGACACATCTCTGGTTTTTCCTCTGTTGTTTTTTCATTCTTTTCAGTGTAACTTCACTGCTCCATAGTTATTGCATATTTATTAACCTGAAACGTTTATGGTGGGATGTTACAGTTGCGCAGTGATTTGCAGTGTTGCCTCACACCTCAAGGACCATGGTTGAAATCTACATCTGGGTTCCATGTGTGTGGAGCTTGCCTGTTCTCCCCGTGTCAGCATGGAGTTTTCTCTGGTTCCCCCCCCCCCCCCCCCACAGTGCCCTGCTTTGTGCCCATAAGCTCCAAACCCCCTGCAACCCTGAGTAGGAGAAGCACTTACAGAAGATGGATGAAACTTTTATGTCTTATTGCTTTCACAATTTTTTTTTATCTATTTATCTATCATTTCACTGCAGGTTATAGCTGGACTGTGTACCTTGCATGTGACAAATAAAACTCTTGAATCCTTGAATGGATTTAAACCTTAAACCAGTGAGGCATGTCCTGACACCCAGGTTTTTCCAGATCAGGCCAACACTCTAAAAGACACAAAGCCCCATAAAATTAGTTTCAGGGGCCGGAGATCATTCTCTGGGTCAGAGGTGAGTCCCAGTTTAATTTATGAAAAGCAGGGTGTCACTCAGCACCTCCTAAAATACAAAGGATTAAAGATGGCTCACCTGACGGGACTCACAGCGATTCCATTCTCTGGGCCATTCCAGGGTGAGCTGCAAGGCCGATCTCATGTTGACAGTCCATTCACAAGGAAAGGTATCTGCCTGCACTCTGCTTACACTGTTTGGCTTCATTGTTAGAGGTGTTTGGTTTGTTTCTTCACCACAAAGACTCTCTTGTCTGACAAGTTTGTATACAGGAAACAAATGAACAAAGCTGATGGAGATGGTTTCTTGAGCAAACCCAGCTGGATCACAGAGAGAGAACCAGCAATGGATAGAGCCACCTTAGCACAATCCTTTGTACAAATGGTGCACAGCACATCTAGATGTCAAGAGGTCACGTGGCTTGACTAAAGCTCAGACAGGCAGTGATTTTCTGAAGAAGGCGCAAAGTGGTTTCCGGGTCATCACTATCGTTTACGAGCGTGTAAATACTGCCACCTTGTGTACAACTTAGGAAACAAACATCGGCTCGCAGATCGTACGGGAAACCAGCGGGAAGGCGACTGTAAAAGGTGATCTTCGACTAAACGATATTTAATTCTGTCGTTAATGCATGTCGCGCTACAATATAAACCGTTATGCAAAATACGTGTAAAGGAATTTACTGTATATAACGTACTATACGGTTTAAAATGAAAAATACTTAACAACTGACACTTGAATGTAACACTCGTAAACAACGTGTTGTCTCCTGTTCGTAATCACGGTGCTTTTGCCAAAAGCCGGTGCGCGTCGTGCTACACCTTCTGCAAGGTGCGGCTGAGCCACGATGACATTCTAATACTCCGTCGACATTCTAATAACCATCCTAGCGCAGTTCAGCAGAACTGTAATGCGCGGTTCCCCGGCATTACAGGTAAACGTTCCTGAAATAAACGGTGAAAATTAAGGACCGCGAGGCCCCAGCGAGGATCGAACTCGCGACCCCTGGTTTACAAGACCAGTGCTCTAACCACTGAGCTATGGAGCCGAGCCACAGGTTCTGATAGAGGCAACATGCCATACTGTAAAACTCCCAGCTTTTTAATGAGCTGTTGCTTATGTAGATAAAATTATACGAATTATGTGAACACCCCAATAAGCACAGGCAGTGAGCCAGGACTAAGTGGGAGGTTTTGTTGATTGGGTGGTTTACCAGCACTAAATAACCATCATGGCTACAACAGCAAGTAAAAGGGCTTCCAGCATGGAGACACCTGATGTAAAGTCACAGCATCCATGTGATGCAGGGCATACATGCATCCAGCCTGTTTAACAGTCACATGGAAGCTCATCACTAAGACAGATCATCATAGCACATCGCAAACCTGCCACCTTCAAAATCCCCTTCCAGTCACGCTGCAGGAATCCAGACCCTTTGAGTTTAGTCCCAGGGGTCAGGTAACCCCTCTGTACAGCAACGCCTACAGAAGTAGGCTTACTTTAGGGAAACCATTACTGACTGGGTAATGTGACCAGAAAATCCATGTCAGGGAGGATACTTTGAGCTAGGACAGGATTTGTAAATGAAAATTTCAATTAAAAGGACCTGGATTTCACTTAAGCACTGAGTTCTTGTTGTGCACTAATTTGCAGAGTCTCATGTAATCATGAATGTGTCACAAATGTTAAAGTGAAACAGCTGGATGAGTCTTTCAATCAAGGAAACAAATCAGTCAAAGCACAAGACCTGTTCAGACCAAGCACAGGAACCTTTCATTTTAAAGTAGTTGGTAAAGTGAGAAGTAGCTGAAAGTGTCCCCAGTGACGTGGATTATCTGGTCATCCTATGACTGGGACACAAAACAACTTCATAAGAAAGAGCTAACAACCTTCGCAAAATGGATAAAATGTGCATTTATTTGCTATTTATGAAGGTATTAGGTTAAGAAGTGGTACATGATCAGCTGTATACACTAGCCTAGCATGCTTGAACAGTGTGTATGTACAAGTCTGTTAGTGCCTTATGCTAACACAGGGCTATCCGTCTAGCATGCTTTTACCGGCCCGTGCTGTGGCAGGCACACCTCCAGGCCGAAACTCCACGCCCCAGCTCTGTCCCGCAAAGCTGGTGGCAGTGGCCCCCCTAAGCGGAGTTACTGGGCTTTGCAGAGTCGGCGTTCCCGCACACAACCCCCGCGTCCTCGTGGTGCCCGCAGTTGTGCTGGCCCACGCCGGCGTGCTGACACTGCAGGAGGATCGCCTCCGAGCCCTGGCACTGCACGTCGTCCAGCAGGATGCGCAGTCGCCGCCCTTCGCCGAATTCGGCACGCCTGGCGGCCCTTAGCGCCACGCCGAAGCCCAGCTGCCTGCAGGCCACGCCGGCGCTGCGCAGGTCCCAGAGGTCATCACAAACCGTACCCCATTCGCCGTCTACGAAGATCTCCACCCTCCCACGGTCTGGCTTCCCCTCCGGCTGGCCGGCCAGACGCAGGGCCCCGTTCCGGTGCTTGCCTTTCCTGCGCCGGCCCTTGCGTGCCTTGGTGGGCTTGCGTGACTTAGCCGGGGCGGTAGTGATCGTGGAGGGAGTGCTCCTCCGAAAAGCAGGGGTGGGGGTGCCCGGGGTGGTTCTCCTTAAGGGAGGGGTGCTCCTTCTCGAGGCAGGGGTGGTGCTGGCGGGGCTGGTCTTCCCCGAAGTCCCTGCTTCTGTGAGCAGCTGCGCCATTTTAAGGAACCGGTCGGTGGTGGCCTGGCTGGGTGCAGGTGGCGTCACGGCCGCCTTGGATGGTCTCGCCATACGGGCCAGCTTGGAATGCTTGGTCGGAATCGCCACCCCAATCAGAGCTGCGGAACACAGGCCTTGCTTACGGACACTTAGGGTGTGCGACCATTGTGTCTCAGCGCAAAGCGTAAACATATATCATGTGATTGGCACAGACTAGCTTCCCGAAGCTGTCTGAACTGCACTTACTTTCCTTCGGTTTGAATTTAATGAGGTTGCCTTTCACTTTGACTGGAAGGGGTTCGTACTGGCATTTTGTTGGCGGTGCTCGCCTGTAAAAACAAACACAGCATTACAAAATGGTCCCTGTAATCAGGGTGAACGATCAGGCTACGAGCTTCAATCCATATTATCATGATTATATTGCGACGTGATAGCAACAGCCCCAGCTGCAAGTATCTCCCTGTTTTCTGAACTGGTTCTTTAAATGTTATCTCGTCATTCGACTGGGGCTCTCGGCAATGCACAGGAGGAAAATACAGGCTAGGGGATGAGAATTAGTGAAGAACACAGATTTATGGCTGCCCACAAATGTGGCCGGACTGGGAAGGACAGTAATGGACCGGCAGTTACTCACCGTGAGGGATCGATCAGTTTGTACACAACACCTGAAGGCGATGCTGCACTCGGGACACCGGTGGACATGAAATACAACTCTCCTGTGAACATCAGAATGCCCCGTAAGACTTTCCGTTTAACATTAAACACTGGAGAGCACAATGAGAAGAAAACACAACCTTTGGCTCTCAGGTTACCTTGGATCTGTTTAGTCCTGTCAGTTTTTACATTAGTAAGTGTGGCAAGGAACGGGTTGCAAAGCTATGGGCTGTCTATTCCAAGAAAAGGCCACAGTATGAACCTGATTGGTCAGAAGTCACATGGTTAATCAGGTGACTGAAAACAACTGCAAAACTGCTTGGCTAGATATACCTTGGCAAACACAATAGCTGGACTGGCTGGATTTCAAAAATGTGTCTTTTTCTGGATGGTGCAGAGATGTTTTCTTAGTGAGATGAATTTTTCAAAGATTTGAGATAAGAGCCTTTGTCTACGTGTGCTCCTGAGGACTTTTTTTTTTAAAAACTTCTGGAAACTCTTACTGAAGTTCTTGGTGTTATTCACACCATGGGAAAAAATCCAGAATAATGCAAGCATTAAATGGAAAAAAAATACAATAAAGGTGTGGAGAGACTTTTCCGTTCATCCCACCTGCCTCATCCTCAGCAAAGGAGATGATGTACTGATAGTAGTTGTTGATGAGGCCCGGAAAAGCACAGGTCAGACCTTGGCCCATGCAGATCTCATGGTCGTCCCACTGGTTTGTTACCTTGTTCTCCTGGAGAGCCATCATGCGCCTGAAATGCACAGGAACATCCGAACACCCAGATCCCAATACAGCAAAACAAATTCAAATATATCTTCTGTAGATCATTCATGTGAAGATGAATTCCTATCTGTTTCAACCTTGTTAAACAAAACATGATCAGCACACTTTGGTTTAATTACCAACCCCCGCCCCCCCCCCCTCCAGGCCCTGAAATTATCCTTACCCACTCATGAAGTCTCCAAATACATACATGCCGTTCAGGTTGGGGTTTTCACAGCCACGATACACATACCCCCCAGTCACCGACTTGCCCAGTTTGTGAGGGTAGGCAAATATGGGTAGGACATCATCTACAAAAAGAGGACCCAATCACATTCCTCTTGATCATCCAGTTCCATCCTGTGTCTCAGCCACAGAATGCCTCCGTATTTGGGAACAGGATAAAATACGAGTTAATTTCCCTTGGTCTGGGCAATCGTGGACCAGGAAGTGCCCATGTCACACAGAATGGGCACCATACGGATCTCGGAGCTTGCGGTCCATTGTAAAATACCCACCCAAGGAGCTGTTGGCACACAGCTTCTTGTCATAACAGGAGAAGCCTTCTTTGGCCCTCCAGCCATAGTTCTTCCCCGATTCGATGATGTCAACCTCCTCATATTTGTTCTGTCCCACGTCTCCGCAGAAGATCCTGCCCTTTCCTTCCTTGGTGGTGGGGTCGCCGCGGTCCACTGAGCAGCGCCACATGTTGCGCACGCCGTAGGCGTACACCTCCGGCCGCGCCCCGGGCTCCCGCAGGAAGGGGTTGTCCGACGGAATCTTGTATGGCGGCCCCCTATCGTTGTGATCCACATCAACGCGGAGAACCTTGCCCAGCAAGGTGGACCTGTGTGAGTGAGAGGAGAGACCGGATCGTGCTGAATCAAAAGCGCTGGGTCCCATATGCTCTCAGCCAAAGATATGCTCCTGGTGTTTCACAGCTCATTCTGCTCTAGCGCTTAGGGCCCCATCTGGGGCCCTCTAAATGGCTCCTACTTGTTTTGCGAGTTCCCGAATTTGCCGAAAGGGTCCCCAGCCATGCCTCCGTCCCCAGTGAAGATGTACAAGTAGCCGTCGTCTGCAAACAGCACCTGGCCTCCATTGTGATTTGATGCCGGTTCATCAATTTCTAAAATAACCCTGCAGTATAAAAGTTTCAAGAGAGTAACAGCTAATGTAATGTAAAACCATGAAACGGTACATCTGTTGAAGGCTCCACACAAGCACCTTCACTTTCACTGCAGGTTGCATTTAACGCAAGTCACATTTAGACAAAGGATGACTGGACAGACACACACCTTTCTGAATTATGGTCTACCACGTTCATATCGCTGGAGGAAATGCGGAACTGGCTGATTCTGATCCTCTCCTGGCGGCCCACCTTCACCGAGTAATAAACGTACAACTTGCCGTTGTACTTAAAGTAGGGGTGAAAGGTCAGGCCCAGGAAGCCTCGCTCATCGCCCTCCCACCGCGAAGTCAGCACTGTCTTTGTGATGTTTAGGAATGGCTTCTCCAGCCGGGAGCGATCTGGCAGATAGGCCCAGACCAGGCCTACCTGCTCCGCCACAAAGAACCGATGAGTGCCATCGTTGGCGTGGACCATGGCCAGAGGGTTGCGCAGCCCATTGGCCACTTCCTCGACGCACAAATGCAAGCAGCCTTCCTCATTGGCCGTGACTCGGCCCAGGTCCTTGGTCAGCTGCGGATTGCTCAGCAGGTGGGGATAGCAGTAGTCTGCATCGTCCAGCTCCAGGTACCTACAGAAGCGATGCTTGTCGGCCTCCAGACCCTCCAGGCTGGTGTTGTTGGAGAGGAGGGTAATGACCGAGCGGCACCTCAGCCAGAAGCGGGAGCAGTAGTCTGGGCAGAGTCCCGGGAGAGAGCGAAGAGGGGTGCTGGGGTCTTCCGCATCAAAAAGGTGAGCGGCATACGGGGAACATTCCTGGGGGAGCCGAACAGAATAAAGGAGAACTCATGTGTGCCTCAGACTGAGGAAGTCCAGTGTAAAAAAGGGACCTACCACTATTCACAGCAATTCAAATTCATTGTTTAGATGGCAGCCACATTCTGCATTTTTCGTTTAATTAAAACATTTTATTAAACTAGCGAAATGACTCATATCTATTTGCTACAGGGCTTAATAGTAACACATAATCGACTAAAGCAATAGTTACGGCACTCCAGACACTATAAGAAAGTAGATTCGATGTTTTTTTTCTTATGTACCACTTTCAGTTTTGGAGGTTATAATAGCTTTACGATATTTGCTTACCTGACATATAAGCTCCTGAACATATCCCGCGCAACTGGCATATCCCTGACTGTCGAAATTGTCCATGATCTCGTAAAATTTCGCCCTCAGTTCCCGATCTTTGCGAGAGTCACAGCAGCCGAAGTCCGTGTACATTACGCAAAACACGAGAGTATCCTGTGGTTTAAATGGGGGCTTGAAATCCAGGCACTGTGGATGTGGGGATGCAGGTAATATCCTGAGTCCGAATAAAAGGAGCAGGGCAAACAGCGGCTGGCAGGCGCGTCCCGGGGAATCGCAATGGTGCCGCATCTTACCGTTATTTCACTCAGCAGTGCTTTTATTCTGCAAAGACATCTAGACGAAGTACCGCAAAACGGCGGAAAAGTCTCCAGTCTGGCTTGTGAGACATGCACGTCGCCGTGTTTTTATTATTAACTATTTCCCTGAATCGGTAGTATTTCCATGTGCTGAACTGCGGTGCACTTCTCTACAGAGAATTTATACATTAGAGGACTCCAGCTACTTTCCTCTCGGAGTTACGAAGCCATTTTGGCGTTTTGTGCTGCTGGCAAATAACTTTCTTCCACGTTGTACTTGACCGCAGACGTTAATCATCCTCCCTGAACTTGCATCCAAATGTGTCAGTGTCTCAAAGGGTCGAGTTCCCATGCGAGGAAATCACGGAAATGAATTGTAATTGAGGCATCGGGCTTGCTTGGAATGTGCAGCCGCACCACGGCCAGACATCGCAGGAGCCGGGGAGGGTCACTCTGCTCCCGGTGGTCCCACGTCAGAGTACGCCGATCCGCATGCTTTGCTCCCTTCTGCCCTGGCTGATTTGTCCCACTAAGCTACTCACGCGCAATCATTTTATTGTATAAACATAATACTTACCAAGTAGAAACAACGGGGGAAAATATGATAGTAACCCTACAAATGTTTTTTCTCGGTGTATAAATAAAATCATGTAGCTGTAATGAAAGCCGTAACGTTTGCTTGTTTTTACATGATTCTGGGCACGTACTTGCAGAAACGTGCTCGCGGATAAATGAGAAGAGTCGACTGTGTCCAGAAGGGGGCGCTGTATACACAGAAACGTCGCGCAGAACGGGAACTGAATGGAACGTCAGATATCTGAACTTCCACTAATTAAAAAGAATAACGGAACCTAAATATTTGACTGTGATAATGAATTATTTGCCCCCAAAGTGGACGTATTAATCTGTATGCTGCTATGCCTTTTGTCATGGGCCACGCTGCTTCCTAAGAGCCCCATCCCTGCATTTTGAATCCGTTCCCGGCTCTGGCTCCGTCTGACCGGAGCTGCCATGCTCCTCCCGCGGCTTCGCATGGCTTTCCTCCAGCTCCTCCGCTCCATAGCTGGTTGTCTGGTTCTGAACTTCGTGCACTGTGTTGTGCGAATGGACTGCGATGGGCCAGCTTTTTGGTCCAACGTGCCTTGCTCGCTCTGCATTTCCTGTTCGCTGTGAAATGTAACGATTCGGCCGAACACTTGTCAAAACGTCATTAGTAAAAATGACATGATGTATAACGGAGGAAGGCAAATATGCCTGGCACACACCATAAAGAGAAAATCTAACATGGAAACATTCATCGTTAATAATATCTAACATTGTGAAACTCCAACTGTATGTTATTAATATCAGCAGGTATCCAAGTGGGTTAAAGTCACGACCGAGGCGTGGCTGATAAAAGTCTCAAGCGATTCATTTCATTTGCTTGTCTTGACGCTATTAAATAAGATTAATTGCTTCAGTACATACTTATATAATCGAATGGGTATGAGCAAAGTACACATGTCATTAAATTCACCCATACACATGCCATTCATAGTGGGAGTGTAAATGAACGCCAAGCACCCAGAAGGCGTGGTTTGCTGCTCCTTTAAGGAGGCCGGCCCTTGAGCACAAAGCGTCCGGCTGCACCTCCGTCTACCTGCTCGCACCGCCTGTCTACCCCGTCATCGGGCACTCGGCTGCACCTCCATCTACCTGCTCGCACCGCCTGTCTACCCCGTCATCGGGCACTCGGCTGCACCTCCATCTACCTGCTCGCACCGCCTGTCTACCCCGTCATCGGGCACTCGGCTGCACCTCCATCTACCTGCTCGCACCGCCTGTCTACCCCGTCATCGGGCGCCCGGCCGCTGGAAGCGAGCCTCTGCCGCGGCAGGGGGAATCACCCATTTTAACCTGGAGATTCCGTGTATTTAACGAGGGAAACTTAAGATCTTCTGGGCTAACCCTCCGTTTGCTTCGGAACAGTGGCTTATTTATACCCGACGGCGAGATAATCATCAAGTATTTTGATATAAAAACAGCTTCAATATTCAGTATACATTAAGCATAGAATAATCCGGGAAGTAACGCTGTTTTGAACTGATAAGGATTGGAAATGCGTTTTACTGCATGTTATTCACTAATGTGCTGAGCGAGGAGCCGCGGAAGGCGACAGCCACCGGGACACCGATCGTTTTTACCACCGCTGGCCGTGTGTCGAGCGCGCAGTCTCCGGCTCACGGTGCTGACATAAACGGGTTAGTGTCATAAATCACAATATGTGATTTATCTTGCCAACAGGAAACTGGGCGTCACCTCAGTCCTTTGCGGTTTAATCAACGTTTTAGAGGCTTTTTTTTTTTTTTTTTTTGTCTATTTAGCTTTTACAAAAGTATTCTAATGATACCGTTAAGACTCTTAAGTCTGCATCTGTAGAGTGTACCTAGTTACACTGTGTATGTGTTTACAATAGTGAATATGGCAAAGAATGTGACGGACGAACCGATGGACGATTTAAGTAAAGTTCCTGATGTTGAACTGCTGAAATGGAGCAAAAATGACTTACTTAAGAGACTCAGAACGGTGGATCAGGAGAAGATCAACTTGATGCTTGAACATGGCAACATGATGAAGGATGTCAATCGAAGGCTTCAGGTGCATCTTCATGAAATACGGGGCCTGAAAGAGGTCAATCAAAAACTTCTGGAGGACAACCACGAGCTGAGGGAGCTGTGCTGCTTCTTAGACGATGACAGGCAAAAGGGCAAGAAGCTGTCCAGAGAGTGGCAGAGGTTTGGTCGCTACACTGCCAGTGTTATGTGGCAGGAGGTGGGTTTGTACCAGCAAAAGCTGAGGGAACTGGAGGTCAACCAGGAGACACTGGTGCAGGAGAACATGGAGCTAAAGGAGATCATCGTTATGCTGGATGAGCAGCGGAGTGGAGCTGGGTCCAGGAGCTCCATTGACAGTCAGTCCAGTCTAACAAACCTGAACGGTGGATCCAGCACTCTCCGAGATGTCGGGGATGGAAGTAGCACCTCCAGCACGGGCAGCGTTGGCAGTCCAGACCACCATCACAACCACAGCCACACGCAGAAAGCAGGGGAACCTAAGGTGGAGAGCAACAGAAGGTCCATGGATGATCTGTATGCCCCCGCCCATCACCGGACTATCTCCACTGCTCTTGATGGTGAGTCTCAATTGCTACAGCTGTTCCCAGGAAGGACAAGTAACTTCAGTCTGTTGTACTACTGATGTACTTTCAGTAGTTTTGTATATGCTTACAGAAATCTTACAATCTACAGTCACCATGAACTTCAAATCCATTTTGATCCTATAGACAGGAAAGGATTTAATGGATTAATACTGATATTCTGCACAGCCAGACACCATACCCAGAATTACTGCTGTGCCATTTAGTATTCCTGATTGTAGTGTGTCTTTGGTCAAAGTCTGCTCAGTGTTATTGCACTGTGTAACGTGTATGTTATTTATGCCAGATGTGGATAGTTCAGGTCCAGAAAGTACAAATCCAGACCAAGATTTTGTTTCAGCCAACCAGTTGAGTACTCTGTGACTGTGACTCTTTATGCTCAATTGGTTGGTTGAAACAAAATCTTGGTCTGGATTTGTACTTTCTGGACTGAACTGTCTATCTGATTATTATGCACTTTACCAGAGTAGGAAAAGGATGGTCTCTCTTTCAGTAACTGAGAGCAGATACCCCATGCTTAAAGGCTTGCTGACACACTTTGCATGACAGGGAGCATGATTGCTCCTGCCCCAGATTAGCCTCCTCACCTGGACACTCTATACTTAACCAGTCTATACTTAACCCCCCTGTTGTGCTGTGAGCTCCTGAAAGAGAGAGGGGGGGAACCTCAACAGATTTAGGGGTTGTGATACTGTCTCCCAGAAGTCCATCTCTCTATCTCTCTCACCAGAAAGTTGACCAGTGTCTGTCTAAAGTGGAAATTGCTTGGTGTCTTTGGTCAACATGGATACAAAAGTAAAACCTAAGTAGTAAATGTGAAGTTGAATTTGCATGTCATGCTAATTGTCTCAACCAGTTTCTGAAAAAGATTAACTGGGAGTTTCTGGTATGTGGCTTCTTGCGATGGGGGGGGGGTGACCTGTACCTTTTCACCAATCCTTCAGCATCGACTTTCCGCCATTCTGCTGACTTTCTCCAGTCTCTTCCCCAAATAAAGTCCCAGCCCCCAAACACCCCCCCCGCCCCAGTGGAGTACCAGGGGACTAAGGGGGTCTTTTCTGGGTCATGAGCCGGACTTCTGTTGCAGGGTCGGGTATCACTTTTGCTCCGTCTTCCCACGGTCAAAAAGAAATGGAAGCGTTTCTGTGGGTTGGGAGCTTCCATTAGGTCCAGATGGGCCCCAGGGCCAGAGGATGCGGCAGAAGGCCGTGTGCTCCCAGTGTGTCTGGCTGGTATTTAATATGGTAATTACCATGGGTATCAGGTTCTCTCCCATCAGAACTGGTTAGAAACACTCCCTGACAAAGCATTTCCCAAAATGTAGTTGGACCTGTTTCCTTCATCTTCCACAGAATGCACCCCTATCTTTTAAAACAGGAATCAGCTGAGATGTTTATATTTCTGCATCTTTTGAGGTCGATGATTTATCTAGCCCTCCCTGCATGTGGCGGATCAGGTTACTGGTGAATTTATAGACCACTTGGAGTCTCTAGGTGACCACCCATATGTTTATTTAGCAAGTGTGCCGTTAGAAGCGCTGGTGTAGGCTTTTGATTTTCTTAAACGCATTTCGAAGTATCTGATTTACTTCATGCATGTAATCCAACTGAAGATGATTTAAAAGGTATTTGGGGAAATGGGTGTGCACAGACTAAGGTAGTCTGCACGTCACGGTGGTCATACAGAGGGCAGGCCTGGCGGCTGGGGCTCAGTGGTCAAATTGCCTTTCTCCACTTGACGAACGTGTATTATTGGCTGCTCTGGCTGTCAGGTTTCACCTATTAAATTCCCTCCATACTGGACTTCAAAGAGTGCTCACAAACAAGCTTGTAATTGGCTTGTCCCGCAGATCCTTCCAGCCTCTCCAAACCACACTCTTGGGAGCATTTTTGAGGACAGAAGCTTGGATGAAAGTTCTTTCCCACTGACTTTTACAACAGAACCATTGAGTTTCCCTGTTCTGGATTGAGAGTTGCACTGTAAACCATGGAACCCCCTTGTACATTTTTGGCATTTTATTTTTTTTCGCTTGCTTCGATTTGTTTTTAAGCTGTAAATAAAATGTAGATTAGATCCATTAAATATTTGGCACATTCTAAAATTGGAAAAATATAAAGTTCCAAATGAAGACCTGATGACGTTCTCTGACTGGAGGAATGTGCACACGGTCGGCCGTCTGACTGTTGTTTGTGCTGCCCTGCCTGTATTGGTAAAAACGGTCCATTGCACTGCATAGGAGAGCCACTGTTTTGTTATGTTAATGAGCCCATGCAGAAAGACCTTCTTGGTCAGAATGAATGGACGGGATTCTATTTTTGAAAGCCCCCCACCCCCTGCTTCACGGCGTCATTCATTTACTGCAAATAGCTGCTGCCATAGAGATTTTGCGGATTAGAATGTAGGCTTTTCAGGTCTGCTCCTTGTTTCAGAGTAAAGGGGTTTCGCATATTGCCGAAGTGGCTGCTCGGGCGTGACTACGTCTGGCTCGGGGACATCTGGTCTGCTTGGGTAGCAGATAGCACTAAGTTTCTCTGGAGTGGATATCTTTGGCACACCAACAGTCCTGGTGGCCCATATGCCTGCACGATACAGGCAGCAGGACAAGGAAACTCAGGAAAAGCATACCAGTGACATTTCTATTCCAGACCACCTGTTCCCAAATGTGTTATTGACGTCACCACGAAAGTATATTCAAGTATGCTGTCTAGTTTATAGTGGATTTGGTTACACAAATCCAATATGCATAGCACCAGTGTTAGTTCATGGTGATCTGCTTGACACAGTCTGTTTACATATCTGTATGTAAGATCTGTACATTTCTTTATCTGCTTTGTTCTGGAATCTCATCCCGCTGTTAAGCTGAGGGATTCTCCCCGCAGGAGCACGTATGCATTTCCTCCTGTTTTTATTTCATTGACGAAGAATTCATATGACAGTTTTAGCCCTTTATTTTTTTCATGTGGTTTGAAGAAACCGGTAATTGCAAGACTACCATGAAAATGATCTAAGTGATCCATTTCTCAGGGGATTACCAGTGTCCAGGGTCCATTAGCAACACAGCAGGGACACTGGACCTGGAGATATCTTGTCTACACTGGGAAGACGCCCTTCCAGTATGTTTTACACTAAAGGAATTCCCTAGCCTGTTGGATTCACTGAGAAATTCTAGTGCCAAAAAGTGATGAAGTAGAACAGTCATGACTGCAGCAGATGACACCAGTACAGCAAAAATAAACGAAAGGGTCAGGCCATATATGAACGTTACACCTTGAGCTTGGAGAGTGTGACTCCAGGCTGAGCTAGTTAGGATCCTAGGACATTGTGGCTTCTTGTTCTTAGGGGAAACATAAGCTGATTGTAAAGGAAGGAGGTCAGGATGGCTCAGACCAGCTGCTCTTCCTGCGTGTTTGGAGAAGGCTGGAGAAGTAGGGGCGGGGGTGGGGCGCCATTGTAACAGTTATTATCATCCAGCTGACTGCTGGCAAATCTGGTCCCAGGAAGAGAAGTGGGGCAGCACTGAGCACTCTCGAGAGGGAGGGGGTGCTTAAATCACTCTTTTGTTAAAGCACATCAAAGGAGAGAGAGCCTGCTGTCATGCATCTGCTTATACAGGAACAGTTTTTCACAACTGTCCTACAAGTGAACATCTACCATGCCATGTTAGAGAATACAGGGCCTTTCTGGGATAGTGTGTTAGGCTTTAACATGTTTATTTTGGCTTCCTACTGGGAGCCACAGAGAGGAGATATAAGATGAGCCGTCCACCCTGTTTCACCCTTTCATTTTCCTTTAGGGATGCTCACGAATGTGTACTTTGGGACCCTATATTACCACCACGATAGGTGTCACTAACGCACATTTGCCTTGCAAATTCACTATTAAAGTTTTTAAATATGGTAGCAGGGCTGGAAATTGAGTAGTGATGGACAAAATGACGCTTCATGAACCATTTGCTGTATTTTTTAAGCCCAGTAGATGGTGCTCTCAGTTCCAAAAAAAAAGGGGCACAAAGCATGTGCCAAAGCAAGTCAAGAGCACCATCTAGTGGGGTCAAAAAATACAGCAAATGGTTCATGAAGCGTCATTTTGTCCATCACAAAAATTAAACTCACCCACTTGCCTAAGCTAAGTAATTTAAATGAAGGGCAAGTACAAAACTTGAACACTAGCCTAGTGACTAATAATAAAAAAAGGCATGTCAGACATTTTTTTTTATGGAAGTAGCACATTTGGCTAGTAACAAATATTAAGTTCCTTCACAGTATTGTATCATTGGGTAGCATTAGAACATGTATTAGATTAATGAATTTATCCAGGACAGCAATAACGTGCAGCTTTTCAACACGTATCTGTTCTCACAAAGTGCTTGAAGTAAGATTTGGAATTAGAATATAAATTGAGGTTGGCTTTAATTATGTGCATCTTAGTTAATAATGGATATTTCACAAGTTATTCATTTTAAAGGATTAACTGAAAACTGAGTGGACAGTAGAATTTTACGCAGTATGTGGTATCACATGGTAAGTAGCTGGATGGATGTGGCGTCACATTTTAATCAGGCCTCCCTTTGAAGTTTTCATGGATAACGGTTCCCCCTCTGCTTCAAACTCTCCTGAACTGCTATTTCCTCTCAGCAATACGGAAGACCCTGAATTCACTACCTCAGGAATAGAATGTAGCATATAACTCGCTTGCCAAGAACTGTGGAAATTCCTGCTGCATTTCTGGCGTCTCTCCAGGCGCAGGGGTGGGGCTGTTGAGTGTGATGTGCTCAGAAGAGGAACATACCTTACAGCCCTCAACATGGTCCTTGCTGCCGCCCCCCTCAAGCTGCCACTCCTCTGCCAAAGTGCAGCGGCATAAAGAGCGGGGTGATGCTGGGTCATGGGATGTTGTGGCTGAATGGCGCGCTGGAGATCTGAGCCGCAGTAGATCAAAGGAGCTGACGGCATGCTCTTATCTCTCTGCATTAAACTTTCATGTGAGCCATTTATACTGCAGAACAGAGAGCAGAACGTTCATCACATCTGCTGAGATTCCATTCAGGGGAACCGAAGTCATATTCCACATCATTAAAAACGTGTCCTCATTAGTGCGGTGGAAGCTGCTCTCCTCAGCTGAGAACTGGCCCCTAAGGAAGATGGAATAGCAGACACATGCATGGTTTACCACAATCCAGTCTCAACGCAGCGCTGAGACTCCTGCTCCGTCTGACAAGCAGTGGCGCAGAGGCACGACAGACAGCGGGGAGCTTTTGGAGTTGCGACAGAGTGCTAGTCTTTTTGTAATACTCTAGCCTTGAGAACATTCACCTGCAAATAAAACTTAAGCCCTGTGAATGTTGTAAAGTGGATGTTGTAAAGCCAGCTGTCATTCCCTACCAGTAATCTCCGTTCAGATGCCTGTAGTAACACGTGCATCTCGTCGACGCCATTTTAATGATGCTTCATTTAGCATGCGGTGCCGTAAACACAAGCTCCTTGTTGAAGATCCCTCTTCTGATTCCTTCAGTAGGAAACGGTATCGTACACAAGAACAGCTGTGCTCTCAGGGTTCTCTGTACATTTAATCGCCGTGCTAAACACCTGACCTTTTCTAGACAGAGTGCTACAAGGGACCGAGAACCTCGTATAGTAGATAAATGGCCGAGCAGTGTAACTCCAGGGACAAGTTCTCCTTTAGACATGAAGCATTGTTCTTCAATACAAGTCTCTCGTGTTTTCCTCTAAATGTATTTACTTTCCTAACAGGTTACTAAAACAAGGAAATAACTTGAGTTCAACCACCAATTTTAGACAAATGCATGAAGTGAAATAAAACCTTAGTTCCTCCCTTTAGGAACATGAGGTTCCATATTCCAAAATAAAAGGAGAAAGAGGACCACAGATTTGCATCTGTGGTTCTTTTGTGGTGTATTTTCTCACACTTGTATACTTCTGAGCCAGGCAGAAGCAATGAGAAATAAAAGTCTTCCTGTCTCCTGTTGGAAAACCATGGAAGCCAATGGAACGTGTCCGGTAAACATGTCTGGGCACAGTGTATGGACTTATGTAAGATCTGTAAGATTTTCTGTATGATACATCTTCTCCAGGAAACCTTGTTTATCAGGTGATAATCTTCTGGAAGATACAAAGGTATAGCAAACAGATAGAAGGTAGAGACATTCCTGCTCAGATGAAAGCCTTGTGGATGGATTGCTGCAGCTTGGATTAGCATCACTTGTGTTGAATCTCAGTGAAACCTCAGCTGGCAGCTAAGAGGTGGTTCAAAGTAAAATTCTTCCGTAGGTAGGGCCTGCAAAAATGATGCTTTTTTGTCCATGCAGCTAGGGAATTACCCAGGATGGGGCATCAGGCCGTTTGACGGCATACATCACAGCTACGGGCAATTTGGCAACTCCAGTTCATCTTAGCATGTTTTCGGACTGCGGGGAGAAAACCCCACAGGGAGAACATACCAAGCCCACAACAACCTGGGGTAGAGGCTCAAACCCTGGCCTGTAGAGGTGTCAGGCAACCATGCTAGTCACTGCACCACCATGCCACCCACCAGCTTCAAAATTGCTTTTCATTCAGAAAGGTTTGCAAAGGGAAACTGGCAGGCAGTTTTACTGTGAGCTGCTCTGAAGTTACAAAATTGGTCTTCAAGCCACAGGGATGCAGGAGGGATCCTGCTGCCTTTCACTGAAGCAGAGTGAACTGAATTACAGTAAATATGCAGCCTTGTGTCACGTGGCACAGGCCATAAACCAGGCGGTGAGTCACCAGGGTGGATTACTGCGGCCAGCCTGTAGGCAAGGATGGAGTTGGGTCCAAACAGGTTGAGCTGGCTCCTCTGGATAGCAGACTCCATGCTCAGGAGAAGACGAGAACTAAAGGTCAGAGTCTGCTCTTGGTTTATCAGGCAGGAAGCACCAGTGAATATGTCTAGTGAATGAGCCCTAGTGACCACCAGGAGGCACTCTTCTGCCTATTCATATACTGGTGGATTGCACAAACTCCAGCTCAGAGCGTTACTGTGGATAACAGTGCTCAGATCCTTCTGGAACCACAAATCAACATCTCACGCGAACACACTGGTCTACACAGTAAAATCATTTGCATATTTCCAGATCTCTTAGCACATCATCTCGATGCTTTCCCGTGCTGCTGAAATCCCATCATGCATCACACGTAGTGCGTTTAATAATGTACGGATGCCTTTCATGTTCATTGTTAAATATTTATTTGGTATTCTGCTCTACTTTTTAGTAAAGTCATCAGGAGCAGGTCTTTCATTCTAATTTTCAAAAAGTATCGTGAGACATTTATCCGCACAGCCCTCTGTCGGTGCGACCGGCATTAAAGGCGTGCGATAGTATCTATTAAAATACCCACCTGATTCACAGGGCTCCAGTGACAGTCAGGATACTACTTATGTAACCCTGTTATCCATTATAATCAAACAACTAGGTTACACTCAGCTTCTGCTGGGCCAGGAGACTCTTTCCCAGTCACTCCTGCTGGCCAGTCAGTTTCAGGAAATTTATAACCTGTGTTTAAGGTGAAGGAGATGAAGGAGATGAAGGCATGAACGTACCTCCAGAAACAACAAAACAAATCTCGGCATTCTTTTCCCCAACACGGTATTGCTGATTGTCGTGTTTAAAAAAAAATGGGAGCTAGCTTGAGTAGATAACTTAACTTAACTTAACTTAACCGTAAACCTGTCAGGGAAGCCCTTTCATAACTCCGGGTCAATACACATGAACAATATCATTTACATACAACTCTTGTACTTGTTTGACTATAATTTCTAACAAGTTTTAGGTTGCTTTGCAAAAAAAGAGGAAACCGGAGGCAGGGCACAACATGAGGCTTCAAAGCAACACAAATATGCACACAAAGTATTTTTACTGCAGAAAGCAAATGCCAACATGAAACAAAGCAAAATCCCAGACATTTCTGGCATTTTTAGGTCCCAAAAAAGAGGACATGTCCAGGAAAAAGTGGATGTATGGTCACCCTACTATAAGTTACAGGCTGCACATTGTATACCAGCACAATGTCACCCCATGTGCTCTGAATGCTCTCAGGTTACTGGTGCAGCTTTCTCAGACTGGGAGCTAACCATCATACCTCCAGGGACAGGGCAAACCGTTGTTTAGCTAATTCTGTGCAGCAAAGGATTGCATTCGTAATTCAACTGAGAGTGATAAAGATAGCCAACAATTTTAACATACATTAATTGTTCATTGACTGTTAACATTTCAGGATGAAAGTCATTTGAAGATTTTAGACATTTTGATCAAGAAGCAGGGCTATGTTACTACACGTCTGCCATTTCGATTCAGAGGAATTGATATTTTTCCCTGTCCATTTTCCCCTTTAGATTCAAGTTCCAATTATGTCAGGCAGCTGGAAACCAAAGTGCGGATGTTACAGGATGACGACAAGCTACTATCACAGGTAAAAGTCCATAATACCATGAAGCTCCCACAACTGAGACAAGTTCTGTATGTGTTATTTAGAGTGAACGTCAGCATCTGAAACACCAGGGGTTTGACTCATGGTTCTTCCGGTATCTACGTCATGGATGAGAGAACAGAACACACTGTACTTTAGGAAAATTATCTTCTGTTGTTAAACTACTCTCTTGCTCATGAAGTTTTCATATAAATGTTTACAGATGCTGCATTAGCTATATTGTTTTGTATTGCACAAGAGTGGCACACATTTTTGTAAACTTAATGCAAATTAAATAAAATACTATATAACATAGATGCTGTGACATAGTGAAGCAAAAATGTGGCTTTTATCTGAGGGGCTTAGGCTGATTCAAGTGATAAGATATAAGATGGTGAGATCCCTGTCAAGTCATGCCGGTGGAATCTGTTTACTGCCCAATCAGATTAAAGGGGCCCCTTGAAGGGGGTCACCCACATGACCTAAGGACTGTCCTGCATATTATCGAGAAGGTCATTCATAGTTTCTGTTCTCTCCTCTCTCAGCCACGTAGCCGCTATAGTTTGCCAAAGATGCCAACAAAGGTAACCATCTGAGAGCTCCGCAAGCTTGGTGTGCTTCTATCGGTGTGCGGGACTCTCTTTTCCCCTTGCCTGAAAGATGCTTGTGACACGTTCTTTCCTGCAGCCAGTACACGGCGAAGTGGTGGCCAGTGTCAAGAGCTTCCTGCTGTAGTGAATTGCTTTGTGGGGGAAATACGTGGCTGCTTGTGTTGTTGGGGGGTCAAATAGATATTGTTCTCACTTGCTTTCACCTCCCTTCGTGTAAAGCTCCCTTCACACATTTTCACTTTCTCTTTTTCAGAATGTAAACAATACCCTTTTGATAATTTTTTTATTTCTTTTGGGGCAGATTAGAATTCTTGACTTTGTGAAGATATTGAATGGGGTTGTGCAAGATCAAAAGCTAATCTCACTACTGTAATCTTCAGGGAAACATTATGGGCTGTCGGCAAATGCACGCATGCCAGCAGTTATTCGATGGTGACTGACTGAAGCAGTGATGGAGATGTTCTGGCTAGTGGAGGACTGTATTTCAGAAAAGGACTTCCCATCCCATGATGTTTGTTATTTGCCTCTGGATAGCATTGTATGTAGAGAAGAGTATGACATGGAACCATCGAGAGCTCCCTTAGACCATCTTCTTTGTCCTCAGGGTAACACAACCGGACTGAGGCCACTGAGGAAAGGTCTACCTCTGTGCCACTCAGAGTCACAGCTATCCTCCTTGTCCCAGCATAAGGAAGAATCTCAGAATGTGTGTACTTCAAACAGGACACAAAACAAAACAATCTTACACTTTCATTCGTAATTCTGAAAGGCAAATTGAAAGTACTGAAAGTGCTGTATATACTCATCCCCTATGCTGTGATTCCTTGGCAGGGCAGTGCCAGAATTGCACCCAATAGTGTCGCCACTAAGACCGGACTCCTGCCAACAGCCCAGAAACCAGAGGCTGTGGTTCAAGCCATGAAGGTAGGATGGTGGAGCCATCTGTCCCACAACAAAACATAATAAAACTTGGCCTGCAAGCCCTTGACTAAGCTCTAGCAAGAATTATATCTCTAGTGTTAACTTGGTGTTCATCTGCATCCAGATTGAAGGATGTGGAATGCCTTTAAAGAAACTCTGCACATTATAGTGATCAGGAATTCTTTTCTTGCATCTTCTTTTATAGTATTGCTGAATTATACATGCTTCTCTTATGCAAACACGGTGTCAAGTGGAAACGTTCTCTCTAGATTTCCAGTCAAAGCCCTTTGGCCATGTATTGGTGTTTGGCTTGTCCCTAGAAGTTTCACCCTTCTGTCACTGGCTTTTGCAGGTACTTGAGGTCCATGAAAACTTGGACAAGCAAATTCCTGAGGATTACGAGGAAGACCTCACAGAAAATGAGAAGGCCATTGTCCGAGAGATGTGTAACGTACGTAGAGTGCTATTTCAGCTTTTTCTCTTATACAACCCGATCCTGTGCTTTTTGACCTCTTCAGATTTTCAAGGTACAATTTGAGGCATCATGTCCACATATGCACATCTGCTTATCAGATACTGCTATCCAGTGATTTCTGCCACTGACAGTTCATCCATTAACCATTAACCACATTAACCAACTGAAGCACCATGAAGGTTCCTGGTAATATTGCCACTCTGCCCAGGACCTGTTGAGCAGGTGTCACATTTATTGTTGGTCTGTCAAATGCTCCACACATTTCTTCAGCTTGTGTCTCACTTCCCAGCTCATGGTCAAGCTCCCCCTGTAGAATATTCTGGTTGGCTTTGCTGTGCAGGTCGTATGGCGCAAGTTGGAAGACGCCGCCAGCTCCAAGCCATCCATCCGGCAGCATCTAGCAGGAAACCAGCTCAAAGGTCCGCAGTAAACAGATCAGAGGAAAAGTATACAAGAACCAGGGATGGAAACTGTCTACGAAAATCAGATCTGTTTCCACTGCCTACAGATTTTGACATTGGTGGACTGTAATTCTCGACTGGACCAAACCACTCATCAGATCTCAATTTTGTAACTATGAAGGGTTCCAGACTGGCAGTTAGTTTGTCGTCTTTTATTCTCCAGGTGTTGATTGTAGGAATACAAAGTGCCAAATCAATGCTTTTATCCTTCAGTGTTTATCTTTAGAATTTCCTGGTCATGGTCTGGTCCTATGCTCCATGTGCAGCTTTCTATACTCCATAGATCACCTAAAATACTGTTTCCATACTCTGTTTGTTACTCTGAGGTCACATAAATACCCAGTTTCCACCAACGTGCCGGAGCTGGATAGCTGGAAAATTTGATCGATAACCGACATAGTTTTGTCTAATATCATCGGTGCCGGCAGTGAAACAACTTGCCACCACTTATTAGCAATATAACGTTACATATTTTTTTATTTTGTGAAAAGCAAAAGATCTATTTGCTGGCCAGATTTAATAATAAATGATAAACATGTCGCAGGTGGAGTAAATAAAATATTGTGGTGCTCGAGTGACAAAGTGATCAGGAGGTAGACAGCAATGTTCAGTTTTTAGCAGACTCTTTTATTACACAATCCCTAAAAGGATGGCAATAAAACAAACTTTAAGAGAGACAAAAGTGGATACAGGCAATAGAGACCGATCACAATGAGTCATGCTCTGAAAAGTATGAGACTTTTGTCTCCTTAAAGGCTCTTTTTTTTTTGCTTCGGCAGCCTATGAACACCTGAAATAAATCCAAAATGGACCATATGGACTTTTGCGTTACACTCACTTCTGCCTACGTAATGTTTCCGTTCTGTCCTTTAGTGAAACCAGTGGAAATGCAGGCAGGTTCTCAAAAGGCACCAAGCGAGAACCAGCCCAGCAACAGTACCGGCTCCGTGTTGCCGGAAACAAGGTAAAAGGTTCAGCAAACCTGCCAGTTTGCTTGAGGAAGGTGTCTATCATGAATGCAGAAATCACTTTAAGTAGAAAAAATATATACATATCAAAAGCATCACTGTCAGTTTTCTATTTTAGTGGAGGTACATGTGTGCATGCCAGTTTTCGCTATGCGTTTTGTTTTTGAGAAGCACACAGTCTGAGCACAAACCTGAAGGTCTGAGGCAAAGGAATGCTGGGTCAACATTATAGCCAGCCAACCAGAGCCTTGCAGATTTTAAACGGAATTAGGGTGACACCTAACATTGGGGTAAGAAAGAGTTACAGCCTGGAACTTTGGATGAGGATAATGCTTTTAGAATGAAATATAGCTCTGAATATACAGAAGGGCAATGGCCTCTTCTTACATGAAATGGAAGATTTGCCATGGACTTGTTTTGAGCATAAAGTAAAGCAATTTTTTTCCAGAAATGAAAATGGTGGTGGGTGTACTGGAAGTCTGCTGGTGTACTGGAAGTCTGATGAAGATAGCAAGGGTTGAGGGCATAAGAGGGACAGGTGTGATTATAAGATTATGATGCAGCTCTAGAATGCAACCCGGATTCAACATGCATTTGTCATTTAATGGTAGAATTACTACACACAAAAAAAAAACAGCATTAGCACCTCAGTACCACAGAGCAGGCCTGTGAAGTAGGGGGTTATCTTACCCTGATGTCATCTGTTTACGGGCATTCCTGACATTCCTGCTGCCCAGAGACCTCCAGCAGGGATAACCAAAGTGCGTCCTCCTTTAAGCCTTCAAAACCGATATAAAAAAGTGACCTTTGTTATACAAATGATGAAACAACTACTGGCTTCTTCTATCAGTCGGTATGAATAAGGTCATTCCATGTTTTTCTATATCCACAATGTGATGCTGAGACTTGTATTTCATGGTTCCAGTGCATTCAGTTATACCACGTGTGATAGAAGAAGATGTACTTTCAGGGCTTAAAGAGCACTGTCATGACTGATTTCTTTAGAGTACTTGGGACTAACATTAAGGTTTATTAAAACCTGGCACTGTATGTAGCTAAAAAATGGACTGATAATTTAGCATCTTAAAAAAACAAAATATACAAATGACTAATTTTTCATGATTTGAAATAAAAACAAGAAATATTTCTTTATAGTACTTTTGTCTCCTGTAAATTATTCACACATCCATCTTCTAACCAGTTATTCTGATGATCGGAGAACCTGCGGTACATCCTGGATGGGATGTACTGGAAATTGTTTTAAATGAAAATATTTTATCTGTACTGCAACATAGATCAAAGGAAACAATGTCGCCACCTGCTGGCAAGACCAATCAATATAAATTATGCTTTAAGGACTGTGGCCAACGGTCAAGCAGGGTGATGTATGTGAAACAATGAGTTGAGTTTAAGGCCAGTACCCATTAAAAATTAGTTCCTAGCACAAGACCACCCATAACAGAAGTGAGAAAGACACAATCATGGCATCTGAGGGCAATATGCAATATGTCCAATATGCAGTTTTCATTGGCTATCATATTCCACAACCCAATTTTAAAATGCGGTCAGTGCCTGAATACAGCCAGAAAATGACTTTAGTTAATATAAAAACCACCATTGTATGAAAACCAAACGCACAAATCTGATATAGAGAAAACATTCCGTAAAACACATAGTTTAATTATTAATAAACTACACATAACATAAATGTATATAGAGCAGGTTTCAAAGTAATTATCAATCTTAATGAATGTCTAATAAAGCACATGCAATGGCGGTATATAGCTATAGCAAATGTATACATTTAAGTATCCCCTAGTAAACTTGACCAGTAAGCAAGCTTAACCGAAAAATACAAGTACTAACACTAGGTAATGGAGACAGAATATGTTGTATAATACTACCAGAGGTATGAATAAGAACCTCAGATAATTTAACTAATATAACATTTTATAATGGAACATGAGTATTAAATCATTTCCTATGAATAAATGTCTAAGGACACAGACTACTTAAGACTTAAATAAACAAATATTATGAAGAACGTCGTAAACAGAGCCTATTTTAAAAAGTAAGCGCCTATAACGTCCAGTATATGGCTATAATGTGACGTAACACCCCATCGTAACGCACCAAGTTCCGCCTTACATGACGTAAAGGGAGTACGCCCAGCGTTCCTTTTTAGCTCCTTAGATTGACGTTCACTTAAACAAATCATGAGCTTTATTTCATGGCCTTTTAAGGTAATTTCATGTCGCCGAAGAAGACGACCAATTATAAGACACCAGGGCCTCGCCGTTTATTTTTGTGTGATGCAAAAAACTTGATAGATACGCATGGTTGATTGACATAAAATATGGACCTATGAAATTCCATAACAACCGGGGCGGGTCCCTACGTTAACCAATAGCTGTGAAAAGCGAACAGATTTCTGTCGTGCGAGTTATGGGTATGTATCCGCTGTGCCGCTCTCTTGGAAGCAGCAATAATATGGGCTGGTAGTGAGAACCTGCGGAGGCCGTTTAGAGGCAGCATGTTAGGCTGCACACTCCGTTCCGGTGGTTGAAGAGGACTGAACTCCAGGCTGTCAGGAGGACCTGCTGCTGTCAATCGGAAGGTAGTCGACTAATATTTTAGAAAAAGATTGCAACAGGGCGCCGTCGCAGTCGGTGTGTTGTGCGGTTATCGTGCCGCATTCTGCTGCTTACTTTATGTGGACGATCCGCCTGCAGAAATGCTAACTGGCTAGCTGCCCTCCTTCAAAGTTCATTCGCCGCCTTCTCTTCTGTTTTACTCACGATCATCCGCTCGTCTATGATTTCTTGACTGGGCCTTATTAAAACACGTTTAGTCGCGGGCGATGCAGGTCTCAGTAACGTGCGAGCTGTCACGCCAGATTTTTAAATCTGCCAGAGCTTAAGCTGCTGTGGTAGATAGGTGCATAGATCGCCTCTGCGTCTGTATATCTGCCTGTACGCATCATTCTTCGTATTTGATCATTTTTGTAAATGCACATTGTAACAAGTGTATTTCGTCTTACTGCTGTTCGGTATATTTTAACTAGAACATATTATTCATTCTTCTGATCGTCTTTGGGTTTTACCCAGATGATTGGCTCTTGTCTCTGCTTTCCTGTTATATATAACCCCACTAACCAAAGATGCAAGTCTTGTTACTAGCAAAAAGAAGGTGCGGTTATTTAGGTTTAAACTTAAAATGCCCCAGGTGTGACGGTGGATGGCAGCTTGCAATCCCACGTGCCATTATTTCATCAGCTTTACTGACCGCGCCTATAGACTGTGGTCCATACTGGAGGTCTGGACTGCTAAAGAGGGTGGAGTTCCAAGCAACTGACTGGGTGTCAGACCTGTGCTCTCCCTCTAACCTTCACACACTCCCACACTGTCTATACTTGGTCATGCTCAGAAACATCCCTATTCATGGAGCTTTGATAAATATTCATTTATGCCTACTTAAGTTAGGATGGATGGGAAATGATCTAAAAAATTTCCCTTTCCAGATGACCTGGGTCTAAAGTGGTAATCTCACAGCTCTCTAGTTTTGGAGTACATGGGATGGAGCTCATTTCATGCTTTTCGTTCTGATTGGATGAATGCTTGGAGCTCTGCCCCTCCTACTCCCACAGCAGCATCATCCCAGGAAAGAGGCCTGCTGATGCTTGTTGGCTAATGGCCAATGCAAGCATGTCATGGAATCAGGGAAAATTCCAGAATAGGAAGTTAACGGGAACAGACACTGAAGGAAACATCTTAGAAGACACGGTTTTCTGTGTCTTTTCCAGCATATATCGTCGCCGGGTATTTTATTGTATACTGCTTAGTACAGGACTCTGCACATTATGCAAACACTCAAGTGGCACAAATCAGCCACTAAAACCTCAGTTTAACAGGTACATTGTGTTTATAAAAGGGGAAGAAATGGCTGAGGTCTGTCCTAAGCTGAAGATCTGCAGCAAGGATCATGATACACAAAATCCTGCGAGACTGAAAGGGTTTGACTGCTGAGGTCACCTGAGACGATATACTGGGCAGCAAACTCAGAAAAGGGGAGCAGTAACCACCCAAGATCTGCACAGGCAATGCTTAAACAGCAAAGACTAACTTCTCACGCTACATGCAGCTGATCAGTTACATAACATAAAGCGCTTATGAATGTAATATCTTAGAATACCATGAAGTCTTGTAAACTGCGCCCTCTAGTGGTTCAAATTCATGATTGAAATTGTATGATTATTCCTACTCACAAGCTGTTGTTCTCAGCAGTCCTTGATTGTGGTTCAGCCTGAACATGGGGAAGAAGAGCAGAGTGAAGACGCAGAAATGGGGAACGGGACCCACAGCTGTGGCAAACCCAAAGGAGATGCTGAACCTGGTCTCGGAGCTCTTACAGAGTAAGTGTTTGCGCAGATGCCTGTTCATGTAACATTGCTGTGGTCTGTGTGAGCTGCTGTTTTCCTCTTGGGAATCTCCCTGTCCAGGCTGCTTTTCTTTCTCTGGGCTCCAGGCTAATGTCTTCATTTTCCAATCCCAGAATGCAGTGGGGCAGCCCCGCCCCCGGGTCAGGAGTGGGCAGAGTATGTCCAGATCCGAAGCCTTGTGGAGAAGATCAGAAAAAAACAGAAAGGTTAGTGTTTTGGGTAGCTGCACAATCATGCTGTTTGTGAAGCTGGGGGGGGGGGGTTTCTGAAATCTAGCGATCCGTTTACATCCTACCTCGTGAGAAATGGTGATGGAGCACATGAGCCGTGTGGCATGTTGGCAGGTCTGTCCGTGGTGTTCGATGGAATGAGAGAGGAGCACTTCCCGGAGCTGATGGCCTGGGCTGCAGAAAATGGGGCCTCGTGTGAAGGCTTCGAAATCTGTAATTTTGCAGAGCAGGGGTATGGCTTAAAAGCCACGCGGGACATTAAGGTGAGTACCGATGGCAGAGCCACTCTGTGAGGGATGCATCTGTAGAGGAGTTCAGGCTGGTTGAGGTGAAGATCTCTGCTTGTGTAGGCTGAGGAGCTGTTCCTGTGGATCCCCCGGAAGATGCTGCTGACGGTGGAATCGGCAAAAAACTCAGTGCTTGGTGAGTCCCTCAGAGGATGACAGTCCCGTGTATGCAGGCTGTCTTCCTCCAGATCAGCCTGTAGACCCGGGGACCCCGGCTTATTGAGCATAAGCCTGCATCTCAGCTCGGTTTCCCATCTCCAGGTTCCCTGTACAGCCAGGACCGCATCCTGCAGGCCATGGGCAATGTGACGCTGGCCCTGCACCTCCTGTGTGAACGTTCTAACCCCAGCTCCTTCTGGCTGCCCTACATCAAGAGTCTACCCAGCGAGTACGACACGCCGCTGTACTACGAAGAGGAGGAAGTGCGCTGCTTGCAAGCCACGCAGGCCATCCAGGACGTCTTTAGCCAGTATAAAAACACGGCACGCCAGTATGCCTACTTCTTCAAAGTCATCCAGGTGCGTTCGGTCCTGGTTCGGGTCAGGCTAGCTGTTAATGAAGTTACAATGTCCTCAACCTGGAACCCTCTCAGTCCTGCTTGGGGTGTTTGGAAACTCTGGCTTAAACAGTATTTGGGACTGTTCGCTGTTCACATGAAACCCATGTCAGGAATTGTGGGGCTTCAGGGAGACCACCAATAGGAACATGGCCTACACAGCCAGCTTACGCAGTTTGCTGTGTACAATCTAGAGCAGAGCGCCCGGATGCTACTCTACTAGGAAAGTGCAACATGGTGTGTCAGTCAGTAGCACACTTAGAGTGGTCTGGCAGGGCTGCGGGCTATGACACGCATGACAGCAATGCAACAAATTGCCCACAAGGGGGAGACAGAAACCATTTAATGAGCTTGTAGCTGTAGAAACACTGCCCTCCAGCACTGTTCCATCCATCCACCGAGGCTTTGATAATTCTGTCAGGGTCATAAAACAAAAAGAGTAGCTTTTAAAAATGTCATTGATGCTTCTTGTTTTTCATTCAGTAACTGTCAATGTGAGTATGGTACACTTCTGTCAAGATAAAACATCCAATATTTATCCCAGTGACAAAATTATTATGTGATGTTTAATGTTTCCCTTGTGCCTTTTAAATCACTGGATGTTATGAGTGAGCTTATTTGTGGGCATTCTAGATACAAGACTTTGTGCTTGTCAGTGTCTCTGCTGCTGTTTTTTTTTATATTCCTGCCTGATGGAAGATGTTCGTGGTTTGCTGTGGTTGTTTCTCTGCTACAGACATGCTTTAAATCCCTTATTCTTTATCACAGACAGCCATGTATCTGTAAGTAATTGTTATAAGGGTCTGTAATGCCAGAGTGATCCTCTAGGTGGCAGGAATACGCTACACAATGTCTGAATATTCTTACTGTGTTATTTCACAGCAGTACAGTGTGTATCGTGCACTGACTCTGTTTAGCCACCACCCCCCCCAACCAAAATGATTGCCAAAATGTCTGGCACCACCAACAAAACCACAGACGAGTGAGGTAAAGGATGAATGTTGGGATCGACTAACACGGGCATGCAAACATGCGCACACACACACACTCACACATGCGCTCACACTCACGCTGCCGTCGGAGCGGGGCACTTGTGAACCGGCTGCGAGCACTACACCCCGGCTTAAACAGCAGCCCCCCCCCCCGCTGCCTGCGGTTCACCCAGGCTATTTTTACGGCCGCTCCGGCACGGGGCGGTTTGGCGGGAGAACGCGGCCCAGACGTGCCCTGGGACACACGGCCGGCTGCTTTACATGTAGATTGCCGTGGTTCGCAGGCCAACTGTCGGCCAAATTGATGAAGCAGATTTATGACGGCTGCCTCGCACAACAAATTAAGCTGACAGTGATGTATGAGGGGCTAATGCCGCCGTGATCCCGCCGTGGGTCGCCGGATGCTCCCGCTCTTGTTAGTATCTGTTAGGCGGCCGCATAATGAAATTGTGCCGGCCAGTTTCAACTTATTTCCGCTTTCTTTCCCCCCCTCCCCCCGCCACAGACTCATCCCGCTGCCAGCAAGCTGCCCTTCAAGGAATCCTTCACCTTTGATGACTACAGGTGAGGCGGGGGGTGGCCCCCCCCCGGGCCGCGCCTCCGCTCAGGAAGCCCCCGATCGGGGCTTTTTGCATTCGTCCTTCTTTCATTAGCTCACCATCATCTCAGAGGGAATAATTCATCGCGGGTCTCCTTTTATCTCTGGAGTCTCGCAGCCGCCGTGGTCGCAGGGCGTTTAACGCCGCCGGTCTTGTTCCAGCTGCGTTTCTGACTCGAGACGCCTCTCTGCAGGTGGGCGGTGTCCTCAGTCATGACACGGCAGAACCAGATCCCCACGGAGGACGGCAGCCGGGTCACCCTGGCCCTGATCCCGCTGTGGGACATGTGCAACCACACCAACGGCCTGGTAGGTACCGCGCTCCTGCTTCTGCGCCGGACCCTCTGTCCGGGATGGTGACCATTTGAATGGCGGTTTCCTCCATCGCTCGCCATCTTATGTATTCAGAAGGTGTTCCTATAATGCTCTGGAATTTTATTTTAAAATGCTGGATAAAATGAAAAGTGCAGTCATTAAGAGGTTTAATGCCGTCCTGCAGCTCCCCGGAGCTCCGCTTTGATGAGTCGGGCTGCGTTTCTCACACCCCGACTCTCCATGGAGAAATCACACTGCAGCCTGCGGCTTCATTCAATTTTCTCTGTTTCAACTCATTTGAAAAGTTCTTAACTCAATTCTAACATGTATACCGATATGGCGCTTAATTACGTGAAGTAAAGTCTGTCCAAATCCCCGCCCTTCACTCTACTCATATCCTCTGGAGGTTGAAAAAACAATTCTAAACGTGCAGCTGGTGGAAATAGAGGCCGGGCTCGTCTCGCTCAGCAGTGGTGCAGTGTAGACGCAGTGCAGGCTGCAGTGGCTGAGGTGAGGAGGTGATGAACCGGTGCAGAGCCTAGAAAGGACCCCCTCCTGGGTCATTATGCCCACTCCCCTTCGCTCACCTCCCACCTTCAACACGCTCCTGTGTTAATGAGCTTTCATTAACGGGTGACTCCGCTCCGCAGTGAAGGCCCCTCCCCCCCCCCCCCGCTTTATGGTCCATCGCCGGTGCCCTTTGATCCAACTATCTGAATAAAATCTCACTCTGTGGTTTTAGATTACAACTGGGTACAACCTGGAGGACGACAGGTGCGAGTGTGTAGCCTTGATGGACTACAAGAAGGATGAGCAAGTGAGTATCTGGCTAAGTCACCTGACTCGTGAATGGCTCTGATTGGCTGCTTCCCTGACACCCACAGCGATGTAATTCTGTGTTCTTAGATTTCTCTTTGACTTTAAATATGCTCCAAGGTTTGCAGGGTCGGCGTAGGTACACTTGGACTGGGCAGAGAGGGTCTCTTGATGAAGCTGGTGGTGGCAGCTGGACAGACGGCTTGTAACCTGGGGGGGGGTGGGGGTGGGGGGTAACGTTTAAAAACCAGAGCACCTGCCGGTTGGCTGTCTGGAAGGCCTGGGGGGGGGGGGCATGCATCTGGGAGCAGGACGCTTCAGTTAGCTGTTCGAAAGGATCCTGCCTCAGATTTTGCACGTTTTGGCCGGAGGTATCAGCACCTGCCGATCACGCTCACAGAACCGTTTTCCCAGAAGCTGACGTTCTGAAACGCCTGGTGTTTCGCACTGAAAGTCCTGTTGCTGAGATGATCTCTTCCACTAAGCTAAACGGCGAGGCCCAGCCTGTGTCTGTGGATGGGAGATCTCCTTGCCACATACCCCACTGTTTATGCACCTCTTCTGTCTCTCCGAGACGGCGGATCCTGACAAACGTACGTTTGCTCACCACGTCCCCAGATCTACATCTTCTACGGCACGAGGTCCAACGCGGAGTTCGTGATCCACAACGGCTTCTTCTACGAAACCAACGCCCACGACAGGGTGAAGATCAAGCTAGGTGTGAGCAAGAGTGAGCGTCTGTACGCCATGAAGGCCGAAGTGTTGGCCCGCGCTGGCATCCCCGCGTGAGTCTGCGCCCTGCTCTGCCCACCGTACATCCTGCAGCCAAATGCCCCGTGTTGCCCGTCGCTCGTTGAGGGTTAAATCTCTGCTGTTCAGCTGGGTCGGGGGGGCAGACAGGTATAATCTCGTTGCCGTGCTGGTACAGCTCTATAATGCATTTTTGGAGAAACTATTTCAGCTTCGTACGGCTTATTGCCGCTCTGATCGATAAACTGAGAAACAGGGAAATATTGCCCTCTTAAAATGACTTTTTTTTTTCTGTTTATGGTCTCTGGGTGATATT